CCCTCCCCCTCCCCTCCCCTCTCTTTTTTTTAAAGCTTAGTTTAGTTTGTAAAGATGGCAGTTTGATCAGCTTTTCATCTTTCTCAGAGAAATCATTGCATCTTTAAGCAACTGTTTCAAGCAGGTGGCAAGGCCTTGTGCAGGTTAAGCACAGCAACAGCGGATCTTTTTCTTCATTGGCGAAACTATGCTTGTTGTCTTTATGGTACAGATGTACCATGTAGCGTCTTGTGAATCAAGGATTCAGAGATGGCTTTCCAGGTCTGCGTGACAGTGTCACATGTGAAATTAGGGCATTGCTGTTCCTGTTCATTGCTAGGGAAAACAGTCACCCAGTGTTGGGTGTTTCACACTGCAGAAGGACAGCTATCTGCCTTAGGGGCTTAGTCATGTAGTACCAAACCAAGAGTAAGAGAAATTGTTTTCCTTTCTCTAAACCTAAGAGGGAGGATCCTGCTCTAAGTACCTGTTGCTGAAATGGGCTGATTGAACTTGACCTCGGGTGTCTTAGCTAATGCATGACCAACACAGATATTTGGAAGTAAACTGGTAAAAAGTAGTGAGGAAATAAATATTTTAGGTGAATTGAGAAAAATCCTTCCTTACACACTAATATGTGCTTTATCTGCTGGTTTTGTTTTGTTTTGTTTTGTTTTTAAAAAACCCGCTCTCTTTAACACTCAACATGTAAGGTTCCGGTCTGGGAATTCCCCTATATAGACCAAGGGGAGCTATCAGAGGACCTGGTCAAGACCGGATGAGCAGAAGGAGAGAGAACTGAGTATCTGGGGAACACAGGAGTTCTCTTCTTTTAAATACAGGGAGATAAAAGCCAGGTGAAAAGACTGATGTCCATATAATTCTTGTGCTTCAATGTCCAGTAGCTAATAATACTGTAGGCTCCAAGGGCTTATGAAAAATGAAATCCAGATTAAACAAGTAAAAGGGGTTTTTTTTAACATTTTACCACTCTTCACTAGCAATACTGATTTAAACCAGGCCAAGTGCAGGAACACATGACTTTAAATTAAAGTGTCATGTGTACTAGTCTGGAATCTCCAGCACATCTGGTAGATAGGGTAGCAAGGGATTGGTGCAGTGGCTCAATTCACATTTGAACATCCTGTCTTCTAATATTTTCTGTTGCTGATAATGAAGTGTTTATATGGACAGAGCTGGTAAATTAAATAGAATATTGATATTCTTTTTGGCCAACACTTGGCTGATTTAGATAAAGATGTATTAGATATACTTAGGATAATTTTTTCTCCCACACTTGTAAGTCGTGTTTCTATGGAAAATTTAAAAGGGTGATAATTTCCAATTAAGTAGCAAAACTGAAAAGGAACACTTGCTATAGTAAGATTCACAGCTACTGTATAGTTCTTTGGGGTTTTTTTTCGCTGAACCAGTTTGAGAACAAAGAGCAACAGTATACAACGCGTAATGTATTACCATTTGAACAAGACTGTGTCTTGGGGTTTTGCTTGATTTCACTGGGAATGTGTTCTTAAAGCAGACTGTTGGAATAAGCTCAGGTGTGCTAAATCTAAGGTTTTATTTATTGAATGCACAGGTTTCAACTACAAGGAGAAAATGGCTCCAAAGAAGGGGCCGATATTTTTATTCTCTAAAGATTTGGCTTACGATCGAGGGGTGGCAAAATGCTTCCATATTAGCATTAATTTAAAAGGCGAAATAATGCAGTTAGATAGGAGGCAATTTAAACAAAACAAAGAATTCCTACCCAGTTTCCATGAATTCACTTCTGAACTTCAGACTTTAATATATGCTTAAATACAGTCTCTCTTCTTCAAAATGAAAAATATGGACCCAAGAAGTTCTTTCATTTTGCGCTTCTAGGGCTATTTATCTTTGTTACACATTGAAACTGAAGGCCTGCAGCAGTATTCTGTAGCATTGTGATAAAAATCATCTGCAGTGTACTGATCATCTTTGTAACTGGAAATTGGCTATGTACAAATCTGCTACTAAAAATAGTTTTTGAAAAATCCAGAAGCTTGCCAGTTTTCCTAAAACACAGAGCAGTCCAAAAGTTGGGGACGGAAGTCCCCGCAGAGACTTTACTTTTCCATTCACTTTAAGCCTTTCTCACTTTAGGAGGCCTTAGGGGACTGCCTGTGATGCTGTTTCAGAGGTAGAGGACAAGAGCTGTGTCTGCTTAACACGAAGATCTATAAACGGATTACCTTAGATGTGTTACCTGAGGCCAGCAGGTGAACAGCATCCTCTCAATTGCCTTTCCTATCACGCCTTCCTGTGGAAGAACGTCAAAACTAAGGTTTTAGCACTTCAGCATTTTCAATCGGAGAACAAACTGGTTTGAGGGATCTGATGTTTTACTGATATTACATGGGTTACTAATTGGGTGGCTCTCTAAATAATATCCAAACATCATATTCCCCAAAACACAGTATTAAATTATGGACTTCCCTGTATTAAAAATCTTCTGAAAGGCTGGATTTACCTCCAGTAAACTTATAATTTTACAGTTTCAATCTTGTGTTTTGCTGCTACCCATTGGGTTTTACAGGTCCTCATTAGCTTTGCATAAAACTGCCAACTCATTTAGGCATTGAATTGGGTCCTCATATAGCATGCACACGAAGCTTTTGGCTTTGCATCTACTTTTCCTATTTTAGGGATGACTTAGATATGGATCATCTCAGGACTTTGGACTAATAGCGTTGTATTTCTCAGCTGCACTGTCGTCTGGAAAGCTGTGTCGTAAGTGCATATCCTCAGGAGAACCTGAATATAAAATTTTCAGTGAAAAATCTCGGCAAAAGGCAGATGGTGGATTTTTTTCTTATCTCAGAGGGAGGGTAGACACAGGAGGAGGACACAGAGGACACCTTGAACACTGATACAGCCTGGTGTTTTTCCCATGGGCACATCATGGATGAGACACAGGTCGTGTATTAGAAGTTCCTCCTCTGATTCTGTTTGCAGCCTTGCTATGAGGAGAGTTGTCACACAGAAGCTTATTCCCCTTGAGAACATACACTCAGTTTCGTTCAGTGCCTCCTACAAATAATTTTATTTGGAATTTTACCTTAAGGTTCTCTCCTTAGAGAGAGAGCCTTATTAAAGGGAGGTTTTGAAATCAGTGTACTTGTTTCTTCATCACTTTTATGAACTGGGAAACTACTGGTATGCCATCTTCTTTCATAACCAGACTGTTTGCATATAGATGTTGATGCTTTTTTCAGGGAGAACAGTATTGGTTTTGCATTTGCTCTGTGTAAGAGAATTCAGATGAGAAATCAGAATTCAGAATTAGGGTTTCTAGCGTGGTTTGTAACCAATTCTGCCTGTCCAAATAAACTTTCTTTGTGTCCTGTGATGATTTAATGTATCATTTTATCAAGATAACTTAAAACTTTCAAAAAATGATTGCCATTGGTGATTATTTCTTTTGAAAATGTTAACTCACACCTTTTATATTCTTTTTAAAATGCAAATATCATATTTTGTCCTTCATTATGGGTTTTTCTAGTCTTTTTTTCAAACATGAGTAACAAAAGAAACATATGTTTGACAAAAGTATACCATAGATCTGATCTGTTGTGTCTGTGTGCTAACTTTTACTTGCTCACATTCTTTTTTTGACCATTGGAAAATTTAACAAAAAGTAAGTGCCCTAGCAAGAATATTATTTCAGTTTTAGATTTATTTTGAGTAGCAAGATTTTGGGGATCCGAGATTAGTCCTGCTGCAGGTAGGTAAACTCTTCTTCTCCTGAAAGGACCAATACATTGTAATATCAAAATTGTGTTCAGGTTCATCCTTAGAGCTGTATTTAGGTGGCCGTACCAGAGTAATAGCGATGCAAATCCACTGCTTCCATGAAACCATTCTGGTTTAAATTGGTACAAACACCAGTGTGTATGTACTTGTAGCTACTCCAAATACGAAATAAAGCAGCTAAGATCAAGTCTACTTCATAGCTAATGTTATATTTCCAGTTTCTTGGCAGAACTTCCCCTGTAGCTTACCACTGCCCAAATCTGAGAATTAAGAGAACGGAAAAGACATGGGGGTCGGTCAGATACAAAGGGTTGAAACTGTTGTAAGTGAAGTAATGATATTATCTGCTCCCAATGTTTTAGACAAGTAATTCCAAGATACTGGCTTAATTTCAGTGTTTTAAAGTATTCACTTAATTTGGTCTAGTTTCAGAA